CCAGTTAACAGCAGGGCAGGTCCCAAAAAGAAACCGTAAATAAATTGAGAAGCTAAACGAGTTAAGCAGTTTTTGAAGTGAACACAGCAGGATAAAGTATATGGACTTTGATGCGATCATCAGCCGGACATTAAGAGCAACAAAGTTTTATGTCACGGGGGGAGTGCCGAGCTCGCTCGAGGTGATAGACACATGCGCTATATGCGTAATGTGAAAGCTGACTACAGTTGGAAAAAAGAGCGCACAAAACACTTAATTTGTCTTAAAATACAGACATTCTGATAAATAAGTAACTGTTTGTAACCTTACCTCAGCTTAGAAGGCAGAGGGTGTCGGTCTTTTCTGCTCAGATTCAGCTATCGGAGCATGAAGCTAATGTTTACTCACAATGTTAATTGCTCTCTTACTCTCTGGCACTCAAGAAGTAGAGTAGCCAAATGGCTGGCTCACTGCTGTCAACTAGTGGTCAGAGGCTGAACTACAACATAAAATGAATGGCTGGCAGGAAAGTTGACATTTTAAACCTTAATAAAAAATCGATACAGGGCTTTAGAATATCGATACAGTATCGGGAAATGAAATATCGCGATATTTCAGTGTATCGATATTTTCTTACACCCCTACACAAGAGAGGAGCTTGATAACTGAAAGCTCTGCTTCCCATTCTACTTTTAAAAACTCAATGARCCACAAGTAAACCTGCAGTCTGAGAGCAAAGTGCTCCGTTAGGAAAGTATGGAGCAATAAGATCTTTAATATATGATGGAGCTTGGTTGTTAAGAGCTTTGTATATTAAGAGTAATATTTTAAAATCTATTCTAAATTTGACAGGGAGCCAGTGGAGAGAAGCTAAAACTGGAGAAATATGACCTCTCCTTCCAACTCTCATTAGAACTCTAGCAGGAGCATTTTAGATCAACTGAAGACTTAGTTTTTTGGATGCCCAGATAATAAAGAATTACAGTAATCCAGTCTAGACATGATAAATGTATGAATCAGTTTTTCCACATCATTTTTGAACAAAATGTTTCAAATTTTAGTGATATTACGCAGGTGGAAGACGGCGGTCCTGGTAACATTTTTAATGTGGGGGTTAAAAGACATATCCTGATCAAAAACAACAAAGTTTCTTTACATTAGAACTGGAGGCCAGATTAATGCCATCCAGAGGAGGTGAAAGGCTGCAAAGTTGATCCCTAAGATGTTCAGGTCCAGAAACCATAACCTCTGTCTTATCYGAGTTYAGAAGCAGAAARTTAAGAGTCATCCAAGTTTTTATGTCTGTAAGACATGCTTGTAGTTTAAGTAACTGGTTTCATGGATAAATATAACTGAGTATCATCAGCATAACAATGGTAATTTATCCCATGCTGTTTAATAACTTTACCTAATGGAAGCATATATAAAGTGAAGAGGATTGGTCCAAGCACTGAACCCTGAGGAACTCCATGACTAACTCTGGTGTAAGCAGAAGATTCATTATTAACATTAACAAACTGAATAAGACTCAAAACATTTTAGAGCTGTTCCTGTAATCCTAACATCAAATGGACCACTATGGTAACTTATTTTTACTTTCAGCATGTGTTGATGTTGCTGCTCTTTCACTGGTTTTGCTTTGACCACGTCTGGACTGGCAGTATATGACAACCACGGGCAACTGAACTTTGACTCTATAGTTTGTTTTTGCCAGTAATGTTTACTTTCAAATAATGTCTTTTCAAAGAAGCAAATTAAATTCTACGTTGAACCAACTACACCCAACACAGACATGTCTCCAGTCCGCACAACATCGTTCGTCATTGTAGCTCATCGTTGTGTGGAGGGAAGAGTGGTAATTGAGTTTACAATTGCATCTTTTGGTCTCTGATGTGCAAACTGAATCAGAACATACATTATGTTTGTGTTTTCCTCCCTTCTTGAAWATGATCTCATCCATAAAACTTTGTGAAAACAGAAGAATCTGCAGTTTCTGCCATGATTTGGACTCTGGCTACAACCAGTGGTTACTGAAACACCATGAGCTGGATCATTTAAGCAGGGCAGAGTTGAGCACTCTGCTGCTCCAGAGTGACACCACACTCCTACCTCCTGTAAGCACCCCTCCAAATATATAGTATACATAAAGCAAAAATAATTTTAGTCTTATGCTTTTTTTCTTCTCATCTTTACTGTTTTGCACCAGATTTGTAATGAATACAATACAGGTAATGATGAATTCGGCTGCTGTCAGAGTGGTATGGCTTGTTCAAGACTTCACATCTGTAAGAAGTACCTGAGTCAAGACTGCAGATGCTCCAAAATCCATGACTTTTATGCTCCCCAGCCATTAAAAAGCCTGTATGATAAAGGGGTGCCTGATACTCTCATTTGCTCTTTAAGGTCCGTTTATGCAAATAGAGAGGCCCTGAGACTCTTTAACAGACAAAGCTCTGCTGCCCCGACCAGCACTAATGCAACAACTGAGGTTGGTGGAAATTTAACCCAGAGGCATGGAGCGAGAGAAAGAGGTGGCAAAAAGGGCCAGTGGGGCCATAAAGGCAACAGTGGAAACAGAGGAAAACCACACCAGCAACAAMAAACCACCTCGTGTAGTGGCATCTTGGGTAACACCGATCCATCCAGTAAAAAGGGACTGAGTGAAGACGACAATGTGCCACAMGAACTCAACTCATCCAGGAGTCTCTCTGCTGCTGGGAATGACACCAGTGCAGAAAGTACTGATAAACAGAAAGTAAAACAGAGGCRCCCAAGGCGAGGAAAAAGAGGCGGTAAAAGTGGTGACAGCAAAGGAAATAAGGCCAACCTAGAGAACCCACTACAGCAACAAACTGCTTCTAATGATGTTCATGCAAATGATGCCTYAGATCTCAACATTGAAGCAACAAATGGAGACAAACAGCAGCAAGATCCTAATTCACCCAACTGTGACACTGCTGTTGGCAAAGACCCCGATCCAGAGAGAGACAATGGCGGCAATGTTCCACAGATGCAAAGAAATCAAGACACAGAAAAAGGTGGCAGCAGGCAAAATGAAGCAAAGCTTGAGAACCCACTGCTGCAGCAAAAAACTGCTTCACCTAATGATGTCCTTGCAAGCAAAGGCCTAAAACAGGACCAACAGCAGCAAGATCCTAATTCACCCAACAGGGATTCCTCTGCTGTTGAAGACACCAATGCAAAAAGCAACAATGGCTTCAATGTAGGACAGAATCAGTGGAATCAAGGAACAGGGGTCAATGAGGCAAATGCAGGAAAATCACAACAGCAGCAACAAGCGTCTACACTAGATGATGCCTTAGCTAAATTTGGTAGCTTAGATTTGCTCAACAAAGATGGACTGAAGAAAGTGGACAATCAGAAGCTAGGTCTTAAACCATCCAAAATTAATGCCTCTGCTGGTGGAAAAGACACAGATGCGAGCAACAACAGTGRTCAGAGTTGGCAGCAGGTAGAGGATGTGAAACAAAGTTCAGCTTCAGGAAGAGGCTACGAACAGGATGATCAGCAGCAGCTCYACAGATCCTGTTCCACTCATGTCTCTGCTGCTGCCAGCAAAGCTGGAAATGTTGGAGATGTGCAGAAGACAAAACAAAATCCTGTGAAAGGTAAATACACAAGCTGTCAAGAAGAATAAAATGCTCTAGAGAACTAAAACAACCTCATTTGSCTTTTTTATTTGGTCCTCCCCACTAGATAAAACTGAGATATGCGTTTACTACATTACAGGAAACTGTAAGCATGAAAGTGAGTAAAAACCTACAGAAACCTATTTAACAAAGATTTCCTGGTGGTGCTAGAAACCTTAAATATGRTTTGTGTTTTCAGATCGATGTGATAAAGCTCATGAAAAGATGCCATACAGATGGCAGGTTCTGCTGGGTGATTTCTGGACAGATCTGCCTCAAAACGAGACCATTGAGAAGGACTACTGTGACCCCAAGAACACATACAGGTAGTCTGACTATGGTGGACAGAGACCACCTTTAAAGTAAACTGTTACRGTGTAAGAAAACATGTCGTTATTCACAGCCGAAGCACGCACAGGAGACAAATTCAGATTTAGACCTAAAACATTTAATTTTAGAATWTAAAGTCTTACTCAGCCTTCATCTGGACCAAAACAAACCTAAATGAGTCTGAGTTTTGGTGACGAATCAAAGYAAATGACATATTTAAACATTCCACTTCCTGGCTGGCCTCTTAAAAATACCAGTAAAAGAGGTGATTTATCCCAGTGAACTGATTTCTGTGCTAAATTTGTTTCTGACTTGTCTCCTGTAGCAGCAGCATCTTTCCAACTGTACATTTTAACACAATGACATGTGGACTGAACAAAGTTAGACGACTTTCGACTCCAAACTCTCTGGTTGAACCGGACCTTCTCCACACCACAGAGTGGCTCTGGTACTGGCAGGATGAATTTGGAAAGTGGAATCCGTACAGCTCATATGTAAGTAAAGAAACTCACGATATCTGAACAGCGTAGCTGTTTTGAAGCACAATTAAGTGCCCTGAATGCTGGCACATAAGAAATACTTTGCTTCCTAAATACAGGGACTTGTGGAGTTACAATGAGGATTTCAGACCAAAGTATTGCAGTTSCACTTTATTTGACCCCAACTRAATGATTAATAGTGAAACAGAAGGATTTAAAAGCAGGCAGAATTCTAAGTTAATTAGATCAACACAACATCTGCATAGCTGGCAATAAAACCAGTATTAGTACTAGGATTTTAAGCTGAAAGTGTGATAATTTCAGATCAAATATTTTGCTAACATAGGCCTGTCGTTCTTGTGTTTCAGACCAGAGGACATGGATCAGCAGACATCACCAGCTCAGAGCTGGAGCAGAAGTTTCTAAACAATGATAAAGACGTGGTGAATTTTACTGTTGGCTCACAGCCGTATTCACTCAGTTTCCAGGGTAAGACAAGGACTCCAGATCAATCATTTAGAAACAATGTTTGCTGATTTATTAACAAGACTTTGATTTTCTGCATTTTCTCTTAGACATGAAACAAACAAACCAGCGGTACAGCACCAAGAAATCCGTYACTAGACGTGCTCTTTTTGTCTCTGCTGAAGATGTCAAAACCAAGAAAGTGAGGTAGATGTCCTAAATAAAGCCATTTTATAAAAATACTGAGGCTTGTTTTAGTGTTAATGCTGTACTTTTCACTCCAGTGTGGTCCTGCTTTGAACTTTCTTACTTTTGTACAATAGGTAGTTTTGTTTAACATGTTACTGTTTCTCTACATTTATTGAGATGTGTGTGATTATCAATTTAAAATGTACATAAGCATGAAGAGTTTGAAACTAATGTACATCTTTACAATGGTCTTGAGTTATTGGCCTTTACAAAGTTTGTTTTTCTTCAACCCAAGTCAGAACTAATCTKAAACATTTTTTCCTGCAGAAAGTCTCCAAATTCCACGTCTGTGCCAGACAACTGGGACAAAACACAGATCCTACCAACAGAACCCTTGGTAATACAGTATGGTTGAAAGCACAATCMAATTAGTTTATTTCTTGTTTTTAGACTTCTGTTGTTTTGACTTGTGGYTTATAAAATGGTTGACCTTCATCTTTTTATGGATAGAATTATGGTGGYGTCTCCCGAATTGTTCTTTGTTTACTTTTTACCTTTAATTTATGGTTAAAAAAATAAAGCTTTCTACCAGAGATCTCTGCACCGCCACCCTCATAAASCTGTTTTGTATTAACCTTGATAATTTTCTACTCACCTTTTATTTGTGTTAGTTTGTTCTACATCCAAACAAACTAAGAAAAAAAACAAACTTCTCATAAATGGCTGAAATAAATAAATGGCTTTTGTGTTTGTTTTTAAGAATGTCGCCCTTCAGCCCACTTCAGAAGAATATCTAAAGATCGCAGCTCTTTTCTATTCAACCATGTGGAAATTTGAGATCATTAAGATTGAAYGAATTCAAAATAAAGCACTTTGGGAAGTGTTTCAGTGGTACGTAAATTTTCAAATTAAGAGTTTGTTATTGGTTACATTTTTTAAAATTTTACATTTTTCTGCTACAAATAAACTTAAACCACTTAGCAAATGTTTGATAGAAACAATTGTATTTCTGTCTTCAGTCATTTTTTGTCATGTCTGACCAAAAATGATAACATTTCTTATTACTGAGCTTGATTTTTTTTGCCTCCTAATTGTAGGCAGAAGAATCTGATGAAGAACAAAAATGRTGGATGTGATGTGGCAGAAAAACAGCTTTTTCACGGCACTGACTCTGAACATGTGGACGAYATCTGCCGTGAAAACTTTGACTGGAGGATCTGTGGGATTCATGGAACAGTTTATGGCAAAGGTGAGTTAAAGAGATGATATTTAGGATTAAGTCAGATTTGGTCAGAATGACCCTGGACATTTTCAGATTTCTGGCTTATTAAGCTACATCTTGATACCTGGATCGTCCGAWATCATTTGGAGTTGTGCTTTTCTAACATGTTTGTGTGCACAGAATAATGTAGCTGAAGAAAATCTATACATTGTTTTTAAAATACAAAATGTACTGGTTATGACATYCCTGGTGTACCTTCTGACCAATGTCCTTTTAGATTTGAGACAAATGTGACTCACACCTGTGAGACCACACCTGTGTGAGTCACCTGGACATTTTGTACAATGTCCAAATGTCCATGTACAAGAAAACTGGATCTGTCCTAATATCATTTATCATCCCTTCATTGACTTCTGCCCGAAATACTAATACATAAAAATAAACCTTAAATCAATTTAACAATTGAGTTTTATGAAAAGGATAAATAATTTTGTCCRTCCGTCCGTTTTCTTCCGCTTATMYGGGGTCRGGTTGCGGGTGCAGCAGCCTAAGCAGAGAGACCCAGACTTCCCTCTCCCCAGCCACTTGGGCCAGCTCATCCGGGGGAATCCCAAGGCGTTCCCAGGCCAGCCGAGAAACATGGTAATGGTTGGTGGGGATGGATATAAAATCCATATGAGTGGCGGCCTCCTAAGTGGGCCCATTGTTCTCCCCAAAAAGACACTGGTCTTAATTCAAACCTTCTCGTCCCTCGGATGAAGGACACAAGGTTAGAAACACTCAGTGTTCTGAGCTTCTCRGRATCCATAAAGGGGTCCCCGAGAATTCTTTTCCTTTGACTGCTCAGAGTCAGGCAGTGGCCTAAGTAGTGCAGAGGTCTCTAAATCAATGCCACAGACATCACACAGACCATTGTCATGGAGTCCCATCACCATTTTGTGGCTGTTGAGCAGATTGTGCCCAGTTAGGACTCCAACCATTGTACTTAAGTTTTCCTTGTCAGGGAGATGAGAGCTTTCCCAAACCTTAGATTTGGGCCTTTAATCAGTTCCCGTGCCTGTCTACAGTCCGTCAGCTCCCTCCAGCGGATTGAGTGTTGATGTCTAATCCTGGCCTGTAGGGCAGTCCTACAGACTGTTGTTGAGGAAACCTACAACAGGCTCTGGGGTCAGATTTATAAAGCTTGCTTTCGCATAAAATGAGCCCAGAAACCTGCGCACGCCACTTTTCTCGCCAAGGTTGTGATTTATAAAATCCAAACTTGACATGAAAATGTGCGGTCCCTCACGCCAGCTCTGACCCATGCATATGCTCATTTTTGAGACGGGAAGCTGCGACACATATGGTGAAGTGAGGAATTAGAGCCACACTGTGTAATGATCACTGTCAGATATTTAATTTACCTTCATAATCAGACTTAGATTTTAGATAGACTTTAGCTTTCTTAACGGTATAATTTATGCTTTTGCTCCTGAGCCATAAGGATCTTTGAAATAACCTAAATCTTAAATAAAGTTCACACATCTCCATCCATCTCCTTCCGCCTCACAACCCTGACCCACAGACCCCTCCCTGACAAGAGACATTTCAGCAGAGCACGACAGCAAAAACCTTGGTTTTAGTCACGCTTTGGGTGCGCACGCACTCGYCATTGTGGATGTGTTATAAAAGATTCACTTTTTAATGAGGTGGTGGGGGTGGGAGGTGGTCAGCCGCAGATAACAGGGCGGGGGCGGGGGGGTTAACTTATTTCTAAATTTATCTGACTTATTTAATTTTATTGTTTTTATCATCCTGCAGGCTCTGACAGAAAATGAATTTGAAGCAAAAGCTGTGTAAATTACAGACAATCTGTTCACGTGAGCGGTTGTCAGCACCTGTCATCCTCTATGGAAGGCCATTCTATTCATAATCACATGACTTCTAACACGTGATCAACACGTAAACAACAATAACGCGCAGGCGTGTTGATCACGTGTTAGAGTCACGTGATAATGAATAGAATGGCCTTCCATAATCCTCCAGATGCACGACGGAGCACGTCTGAACTGACCAATCGCTTTTTTTGACTTTGATCAGCTGACYTATTTGAATACACCAGGGGTGCCCAAACGTTTTTGAACCAAGAGCTACTTTTGAAGTCRGCAGTTTGCCGAGATCTACTCGTCCAGTCTCAGTATCAAAAAAAACATAATTTTGTCTCCCTACTCCTCACTTCTTTAAATAAAACAGAACGTAATGTGTTGCTAGTTTAATTTAAAGTATTGAAAAACAAAACTATCTACTTAACCATATGTTTACCTACAAAAAAAAGAAAAGAAAATCCTTATTTAACTCCTGACAGAGAAACAGAAAAGTGATGCTCAAACAAAAAAGATCAATTTTTTTTACCTCCTTCAATTAGCACTCCCTGTAACGTGCGAGCTATGAGGGCTGAAAACCCTTTCCAGTGAGAACCACAGAGTCAAATAACTTTGGAGCACAGGAACTTGTCTCCATTTATTCAAAGAACTCTCCTCTCTTCTCTCCATACAGGGGAGGAAAAACAAAACAAAAAAACTATCAGGGTCAACATGGCTACCACAAGAGTGCCGCCCTTTTATCAAAGTCAAAGCACACAATATAAAACTCTCACAGGCGGCTATAAAACCTGGTGCTGAGCTTCCAGGAATGGTTTCACCTGATCAGATCTGTTCCTTTTATTGCCTGGAAGTGATCCATCAGGTGGGTTTCTGAATTTTATGCATTTTTGCAGAAATATCGCCCGCCAGGGGTTTCTGGCTAAATTCAGGTGGGAGAGCAGGTGCTGGACTCAGGACCATGGTTCCACCTCACTGGATCTCTTCCTTTTATTCCCCTGCATCAATACAAGCAGCCCCGTGCTGGAAATCAGCCGTTTCACCAGCCAGAGCTCGCCTGATGACATTTGATCACTTATATCTCCACAGGGGAACGTCCCAGGAACTTGCAACCACCTCCAGATTGTAGCGAAGATCCAGAACATTAAAATGAGCCATCTCCCGCCCGGATCCGACGCTSAGAGCCGGCGCTAGAGGCTCTAGAGTAAATTGAGTACTATATCGCCCACCAAAGCGCCTTTTTCGGCCGGTCGTTGGTTAATAGCTCTGCGGGGGAACGCCCCAGGAACTCACAACCACCTCCAGTTTGTAGAGGAAGATCTCACTTTCCCGGATCCAATGCTCAGAGCCCGCGGGAGAAGCAAACAAAGGTTAAAATTTCCTCCCGAAAATGCACGTAAAATGCACTAAGTCGTGCATAATTTGCTTATAGCTCTGCGAGGGGACGTCACAGAGGCTCCATTCAAGTATCAGCTTGTAGGGCAGAAAAAACCCGACCAGCCACTCTGGGATCCGATGCTCCTAGCCCGGGGAGGGGGGCTAAAACCACCCCCGGAGGAGGTCAGACGGTGCGTAATTTTGGAGGTTTTTCGCTTACATCTCCGCGGGGTAACTTCACAGGGACTCCACTCAACTTTCTCCTTGTAGGGGAGAGCCAGGGCTTTAAAACCCGATCATCCACGCCGGGATCAGACGCTCGTAGCCTAGGAGGAGGGGCTAAAACCACCCCGGCGGGAGGTCTGACAGTGCATATTTTGGAGGTTTAATGCCTATTGCTCCGCGGGGGAAAGTCGCAGGGACTTCATTCAACGTTCACCTTGTAGGGCAGAACCAGAGCTTTCAAACAAGACAGCCACTCTGGGATGCAACGCTCAAAGGCTCCGCAGCAAGGTTGCGTTGCGCAGGCAACCTGGGAATCAGCTGGCGGGCGACTCATCGCCCGCGAGCGACTGATTGGGCACCCCTGGAATACATCTTAACATTCATGAGGTACTTTGCATCGGCTGTTTATGGTTGACTATGGGCGTGTAGAGGGCAGAACCTGAGGCAGGACCTTGTGTGCAAACTCTGAGGTGTGGCTGTGATCTATAAAGGAAAGATGCGCAGAAACATGGTTTTATAAATCTGAAATTTTTTTGTCATACGCCATTTTCGCCTTTTGGTCGTATTCACTTTTAGTATGGTTTCCACTCAATCTTTTATAAATCTGACCCCTGGTCCTTTGAAGTGGGCCTGACCGCCAGCTTTTGTGATGTAGTCAGCTCTCTCGTTACCATAAATGCCAGTATGTCCTGGTACCCATTTAACAGTAACACTGTTATCTCTCCCCAGTAGGGGTCGACCAATACATCGGCCGTCCGATTTGCGTTTTTTCCTTGTTTCGTTCAGCCGATCCATTCTTTGAGTCACGCGAATGCACGTTGATGCCCCCTCCCTCGGGGAGAGAGCAGCAGCTGCTAATGTGARAGAGTGCCAACAACAATAAGGGTGATTTATGAACTTTTAATGTGTTTTAACTGTCTAAGGCTGTGTCCAAAACGGCAGACCAGGTCCTCCGAAGGCCGAATTCGTCGGCCACGTACGTCATAGCGCCGCGACAAAGGACGTCCCAAACCGAAGACTCCTCCCATGTAGCCGACAAATACGTCCTTCCTTTTCCCTGATTTGAAGGACAGGTCCAATGGATCCTTTCCGGCCCAGCATATCCCATAATGCATTGCGGCCCAACCGGAGATTGTTTTTTAAGCTAGTAATGACGGACGAAGTGAGAGAAAAGAACACTTTTTAAATAAAAATATGGCAATATAAAAATTAAAATTTTTAGCGGTTGTAATTCTAATACTTTTATCATTTGTATAGACATGTTTTTAAACATTTTTGTCAAAAAACGCAAAATAAACATGCACCTATAGAGGGTCAATTAGTTCTTCAAATGTTACCTTTAATTAGTTCATTAAATGT